ACCCTCCAAGCGGGAAAGGGGATTTGAAGGGGTGTGGGGGTGGAGGAATTGTGGGGAGGAGGCAGGTGGACCGTGACACGACTTTCAGATGCTGCTTCTGGTTTCCAGACAAAGGGACATTTTTGCTTGTTTTTCTTTGATGCATAGGTGTCTGTCTCCAGAAAGCCTGGTCAGTTGCCTGCAATTTAGGAAGCTTTTATTTCCACTAATGAACTAGTGTCTGGCCAGGGCTTTTCATTTCTGAGCTTGAGGTTGGGGCTGCCGTCTGCATCCCCTTCCTCCCACCTGAGAGCCCCTGACAGCCTCCCTTGCCTCCTCAGGATCTCCTTTTACTTCTAGGGTCTGACTGAAAAAGAGACAAGGAAGAGATTGCCTCTCCTGCCCTGTAGGTTTCCTCGATATTCCCTGGATCAGGGGAGGTCAAATTCAAAGACAGGAGCAAGTGTGTGACTGTGGCACTAACTAGCCCTCCTGCAGACAGTAACCTGACATGTCCATGTTGTTAATATTCCTATGGCAGAAACACTTCCCCATTCTCAAATATGATTGCCATTTGCTTCTCCTGGGGGGGAGGGGGATAGGGAAATTTGTATCCATGGACATAATTTCAGTAACTGGAACATTTTTTTTTTTTTTTTTAAAGATGACCGGTAAGGGGATCTCAACCCTTGACTTGGTGTTGTCAGCACCACGCTCAGCCAGTGAGCGAACCGGCCATCCCTATATGGGATCCGAACCCGTGGCCTTGATGTTATCAGCACCACACTCTCCCGAGTGAGCCACGGGCCGGCCGTAACTGGAACATTTTAAATTCCAAAATAAATCTCGTGACCCGTGGCCTTGGTGTTATCAGCACCACACTCTCCCGAGTGAGCCACGGGCCGGCCGTAACTGGAACATTTTAAATTCCAAAATAAATCTCGTGCCCTTTGCAGGTGGTGGGCTCTCTGCCTGTCAGTCATCCTGCCTTCCTTCCTCTCTTCCTTTTTTCTTTTGGAGGCTCACACACAAATTGCAGAGGCTGGAGTCAGGATCAGGATACGGAGCTTTGAAGCCGCATGGCTTTTCTCTCAGATATTGCCACCTGCACTGTGGCTTTTTGGAGTCCTTTGGGGTGTGGGGGTCACCCCAGCAGACCCTGGACATTTATCCTAGGTCTGAAGTAGCCAGTGGATGTGATGCTTTAAGCGATCTTGGTGCCCTGCTTGTAGGTTATTCTGTGATCGAAGCTTCACCCAGTGATCTGCTGACGATGTGGATGGATTGTCTTCATTTAGCACCAGCTTTAGGAGCTTTGATGAGAGTTACTTCCTCCATAAAGATTGTTGATAACAAGGACCACAATACAGTCCTGCGGGATTTTCTAGCTTCTGTACCCACTCTCTCATCATATGCACGGCTTTTAATATTCTGAGAGCCTTTGCCAATACACATTTTCTCTGGTAGTGGGAGCCCGGAGCCCGGATGTGATGTATTATTGATAGGCTGTAATTTACTCCTCTTGGGTTGTATCTACAGTGTATATCATTAGCACAAAATATTAAATTACCAGTGGTTGTATATATTTGTCTATTCAGGTTTGGCTCAATGATATTTGCCTTTCGCCTCAATAAAAGATCGTGAATAATGAAAGCAGAGTAATTTTATTTTTTGTTGTTGTTGCAAGAGAATTTTGATTAAGCCATCTTCTCCGTGTTGTGTTTTTGGCAAGCCATGCTTTGCAATGAAGACATGAGACATAAAAGAGTGGAGGCTGGATGGGGAAGATGGATGGGTGGTTTGCTCCGGCTCTCAGCACACACTGGCTTCCCCAGCAAGCCGCTCCCGGCCAGGCTCAGGGTTTTTTCCTTCTGCAAAGGGGAACAAATGATCTGTGCTGCATTGGTGAGAGGAAGGGGGAAGTTCAGACCTCGGGGCCAGAAACACAATGCCCCATATCTGTTATGAAGACAGTGTTTGAGTGACGTGAGGTGTGGGGAGACCCGACAGTGTATCAGATTGAACCCCTTGTAGACACAGCATTATGCGCTGGCTGGTGTTTGATAATCCACCCTCTGGTCACCATTTGTGGCCATTTTTTTTGGCAGCTGGCCAGTATGGGGATCCAAACGCTTGACCTCGATGTTATAACCCCATGCTCTAACCAACTGAGCTAACCGGCCAGCCCTTTTCAGCCATTTGGTCCCTGTCCGCACCGGGGCCAGGTGAAACACAAATGCATGAAAACACTTTTTCCTTTAAAAGATCCCAGGTCATAGGGCTCAAACCAGACTGCAACGGGAATACCATGTTGCTCCAGTTTTGTGCTCTTTTTATTCTGATCTTGGGGCTTCTTTCAG